TTATTATTATTATTATTATTATTATTATTATTATTATTGACCGTTAGATTTTTTTCTTTCTTTGTTTATCTAGTGATAAGAATGTATTAATGTTTTTCTATTTTTAATAGTGCAATTAAAAAAAAAAAAAAATTGTTATTTTTTCTTTCCTACCTGGTTACTATATTTTCATAAACAAATCGCATAAAGGTGTGTTGATATGTATATATATATATATATATATATATATATATATATATATATATTAGGAGTATGTACGAAATATATATATTTTTATTTCCCTTCACTACGACATTATTACTGTATACCTTTCTCATTGCTTTTTTTTTTTTCTCTTTGTTTCTGTGAACCTGTGTGTGTGTATATTATTATCTTATTCTGTAATACTCTGAAGATTTTTTTTTTGGCGTCCTCAGATTATTCTTTTTTTTTTTTTGTTTCGTACGTTAACAGGATTTCTTTGAATTTTTTTTTTTTATTTCTTTTACCGGGGGTGTAAACCTAAAAGTGTTACGGTGATGACACCCAGTTCTTTTTCATAGGGAATGATTTAATGTAGTGTACTTTACTGATATTCTCTTTTACCACTTCTGATAACATCACAAGTGAGTTTATGTGTGTATGGGATGAAATATTCTACATAACTTTTTTCCCTTTTTTTTTAAAAAAAAAAAAAACTTTTTCATTCATGCCGTATGAGGTAACGTTGCTATCTCTCTCTCTCTCTCTCTCTCTCTCCAAGAAGGGAGTATTGAAATGAATTTTTTTTTATTCTTTTTTTTTTCCTCCTTTTTAGGTGTGCTCTTCAATACACAAAGCAAAAAAAAAAACAATAAACAATTGGAGTATGCCGTTATTTCGTCACTCTGGTGGTTCTGGAGGATTCCCAACGGGATTTCGTGTTCCGGCAAGTTTGTGCACAGATACTCCTGCACAAGGCACCGCAACCTCCACTTTAACACAATCACAACGGCGAGAACGTACTGTAGTCTATCCAGAGAGCCGAGGTATTACACAAGACGATATTACCGCAGCTCGTCTTGCGAAGAGGGCCCATATAGAGTATCATCAGCCTGTAAGAGAGAAACCTGCTGCTCGTACTGAAGGTGCTAAAGGATATGGAGATGAAGATGAAGATGATAATGATGGTGCCGCTGTGATTAAACCTGCCTTAAGTAATAATATTGCTCATCCAGAAGGGGATACTACAACTACTAATACGACAGAGGGAAAGCTAGAGACCTCTCAAGAAAAGAGAGAGGAAGTAGAGAATGAAGAAACAGAGGAAAAGAGTCAGGTAGTTGGACGCTATCCTGTGAGTCCTAATGGTTGTATTTATTTTCAAGTGGAAACAGATGCGGCCACTAGACATGAGTCCACTGGTATTGTTATTATTAATATGGATTTGCTTGGTGTAATGATGTACGATCGTGCTGGACGACAACATGGGAATCGCCCAGATCCTGGATATCCTATAAAAGAAGAAGAAGCTGCAAATGCCAAAGCAGGTACTACACTTAAAGTTGGTCCAAAAACTGTACTTCTCATTACAGCATTAAAGGAAGAATCTTTCCGAAGTGGAGAATTCTTTCTTAGTGCAGAACATCAACTTCGAAAAAAAGAAGAAAAACAAAAAGCAAAAGCTGAAGCTGAAGCTGCTTCAGGTTCACGTCTCGTAAAACCTAAAATGTCTTTTGGTAAAGGTTTACTTGGTTCTATGTTTGCACAACCAGTTTTCCGAAAACGACCACTTGACGGACAGACAGGATTTACAGTTCCTGTTGCTGGTCGTCCAAAGGTTGGAACAGGAGGAGTAAGGGCGGAGTTACAGCCATTACATGATCCTGATCGGGAAGGTGCCGTTATTCTCTTTCGTGCAGATTATAAACGAGACTCTAATGGCCGTCCAATTGTTTCTGTTGTGGTGGATCCTATAATTGGTGATAAACTACGTCCACATCAACGGGCAGGAGTTAAATTTCTTTTTGATTGTATAACAGGTGAAAGAATGCCAGGATATCATGGTGCCATTCTTGCAGATGAAATGGGACTTGGTAAAACAATTCAAACTGTTGCGACTATTTATACTTGTATCCGTCAAGGAAAACATGGGGTTCCAACAGCTCGTAAGTGTCTTGTTGTAACTCCTTCTTCTCTTGTAAAAAACTGGTGTAATGAGTTTGATAAATGGCTTGGTGTAGGTGCTGTAAAATATTTTGCTATTTCAGAATCTACACCAAAAGGAGATCGTATAATATCACGTTTTGATGGTGAAGGTGATGTCTTGGTTATTTCTTATGATCAGCTACGCAAATACATTAAGCGTATCTCAACCTTAAGATCTGTTGAATTAGTAGTATGTGATGAAGGACACCGTCTTAAGAATGCTGAGGTTAAAACAACAAAAGCTGTTGATTTACTTCCAACGAGAAACCGTATTATTCTAAGTGGTACTCCTATTCAAAATGATCTCTCAGAATTTCATGCTATGGTAGGTTTTGTTAATCCTGGTATATTGGGTAGTCGTGATGTTTTTGCACGTGTTTTTGAAGAACCTGTTATGCAAGGTCGTGATCCTGATTGTCCTGAACATTTACGATCACTTGGTGCAGAACGAGCACACTATCTTTCAAATCTAACACAACGTTTTATTCTTCGACGTACACAGTCAATTAATGAATCTTATTTACCTCCTAAAGTCGATATAACAGTTTTTGTAAAACTTGGTTCTTTACAGCGAACAGCATACGAAAAATTATCTTCTCTTATAGAAGATTCACATTGTACACCACTTGTTCTTATCTCTGCAATGCGTAAGTTATGCAATCATATGGACCTTTTCCATGAAGCAGTAATACATTCAAATAAAGAAGAATCAGCTGACCGCAGCATACCAAAATCAGTTCTTCCAAAAGGCTATAAAACAGGAACACTTTCTGAAGCTGCTGGTAGCAAAATGCATTTTGTCTCTCTTATGCTAGATGAGTTAAGAAATAATGGAGATCGTGATAAACTGGTAATTGTTTCTAATTTTACACAAACACTAGATGTCATAGCTGCCATGTGTAAAATAAAAAGAATTAGTTTTTTTCAACTTGATGGCAGCATGCCTATAAAGAAACGTCAGGAAGTAGTGGATCGGTTTAATGTCCCTGGTTCACAAGAAATTGTTTTTTTACTATCTTCAAAGGCAGGTGGTGTGGGATTAAATCTTATAGGAGCAAATAGACTTATTCTATTTGATCCTGATTGGAATCCTGCAAATGATGCACAAGCAATGGGACGAGTTTGGCGTGATGGACAGAAAAAACGTGTTTTTATTTACCGATTACTCAGTACAGGTTGTATTGAGGAAAAGATATATCAACGGCAGGTAAGTAAACAAGGACTTTCAGCTAATGTTGTTGATATGCAGAGTGATTCCAAACAACATTTTACATTGGAGGAACTCCGTTCACTTTTTCGCTACCGTGGAGATACTCCGTCCGATACACATGATCTACTTCACTGTAAAGGATGTGAGGCAGTGATGGAAATGTCAAGCGTTAAACAAAAAGAACCAGAAGTAACAATGAAGTTTCGACGTGTAGGTGAAAAGAAAAGTGGTCCTCGAATGGACGAATTAAAAGGGTGGAGACACTTTATACGGTGTGAAACATTTCCACTAGACAAAGTTCTACGTGCTATTGCCGCCGCAGCACCTGGACTTTGCAGCTTCATCTTTGCGGATGAGCGTGACAATACCGCTACAATAAAAAACAAAGATACAAATACTCAAAAAGGTGTGACAGTACATTCTACAACCGTACAGATAGAACGGCCATTTGCACAAGATGAAGAACAGATTATCTGTGCTAGTCAGGCCGAGGAACAGTCAGAAGACACAGACTTTGAAATTGAACTTCATAACGAGGAGGAAGACGAAGACGAGGAAGAGGAAGAAGAAGAAGAAGAGGAATTCGTTGACGATGATGATGATGATGATGATGATGAGTGAAAAAGGTTCACTTTTAATGGTTCCACGAAAGGAGAGATAGGGCATTTTTGCTTCTGCTATTCCTCTTTCTGTCCTTTTGCTACCACCTTTATATGATTTTCAATAGAGCTATTGTTGCTTAAGCTCTTTCCCTCCCCCCTCTTCTTTTCCCCTGTGTGTGTGTGTGTGTTTCCCTTTCTTTTTGTTTGAGTGCAGCAACTGCACCGCTGGGAGTGTGGTGAAGGTGATGATTTCAGGCATCTGTCCTGCTGTATCTTTCTTGAGCGAGAACACATTGAGAGGTATTTCATTTTCGTTTCCCCATTGTCTTTTTTGTGCATGCTTCTGATGGTGCTGCTGTTATGGTAGTCGTATCCCTTGATAACTTCCCTTCTTCATATTTTTATTTTTCTTCTTCATGGCCTTTTTGTGTGCGTGCCTCTCTTGTTCTTTATTCACTTCATCCAAAGAGTAGAAAACACTACACATAAATTCAGCTAAACTAACAACCATCGCATTTTAACAGCACATCTGTGATGCCGGAACAGCCATCTAATGTATGCCCCGTGCATGGGTGCTCCATTTTGTCAGACCGCTACCTTAACCGTGGTACTGCCTTTACCTTGGAGCAGCGGAAGCAGCTGCACATTCTCGGTTGCCTGCCACCTGCCGTTGAGACACTGGAGGAGCAGATCGAGCGTGTGTATATGCAGATGAAGGGCTACGAAAAGCCCATCAACCGCTACCAACATCTTGCTGCCATTCATTCGACGAATACAACGCTGTATTACGCCACTATTCTGAAACATCTGGAGGAGACGCTGCCCATCATTTACACGCCGACAGTCGGTGAGGCGTGCCAGAACTTTGGCCACCTTTTCTTCCGGGAGCGCGGACTGTACTTCAACCGCCTGTACAAGGGCATGTTCCAGCAGATCATGCAGGATGCAAACTACAAGAAGGTTGATGTGGTGGTTATCACTGACGGTTCTCGTATTTTGGGATTGGGTGATCTTGGCTCAAATGGCATCGGTATCAGCATCGGCAAGTGCTCCTTGTACGTGGCTGGAGCAGGCATTGCGCCACAGAATGTTGTTCCTGTCTTACTGGATGCTGGCACCAATACAGAGAAGTACCTAAAGGATGCCAAGTACCTTGGCATGCGAGAGAATCGCCTCAATGACGAAGATTTCTACGCCCTTCTTGACGAGTTTATGGATGCAGCCCAGAAGCAATGGCCCAACGCCGTCATCCAGTTTGAGGACTTCAGCAACAACCACTGCTTTGACATATTGGAGCGCTACCAAAACAAGTATCGCTGCTTCAATGATGACATTCAGGGCACGGGTGCTGTTATTGCCGCCGGCTTCCTTAACGCAGTGAAGCTGTCACAGGTGCCACCGCTGCAGCAACGCATTGTTGTCTTTGGTGCTGGCTCTGCCGCTGTTGGTGTTGCAAAGAACATCGCTGAGCTTACCGCTCGGATGTACAACGTCCCTGTGGAGAACGTTCTCAAGACGTTCTACCTTGTGGACACCAAGGGCCTCGTCACAAAGACGCGCGGTGACAAGCTGGCCGCACACAAGGAGCTGCTTGCCCGCACCGATGTCTCTGCAGAGGAGTCGGCGAAGCTGCAGACGCTTGAGGCGGTTGTGGACTTCGTGAAGCCCACCACACTGCTCGGTCTTGGTGGTGTTGGTCCCGTCTTCACAGAGTCGATTGTACGGGAGGTGATGAAGCACACTGCACGCCCCATCATCTTTCCGCTCTCCAATCCAACGAGCAAGGCGGAGGTGATACCCGAGAACGCGTACAAGTGGACTGACGGCGCCGCCATCATCGCGTCCGGCAGCCCATTCCCACCAACAACAATTGGCAACAAAACGTACAAGCCATCACAGGGCAACAACTTGTATGTGTTTCCCGGCATTGGCCTCGGCTGTGCATTGGCGCAGCCCACACACATCCCTGACGAACTGCTCATCTCCGCCTCACAGTGCCTCAACGCTCTGGTGTCGGAGGCCGACCTGCAGGCGGGACAGCTGTACCCACCGCTGGAGGACATCCACAACATTTCTGCCCACATCGCGGCGGACGTCATTCTCGAGGCCCAGCGACTCAAGATTGACCGAAACACAACACTCCCACGCACTCGTGATGAGTTGTTGGCGTTCGTGAAGAAGTCCATGTGGAAGCCGGTGTACCCATCGACTGTGTGTTAAGTTCTTCAGTGGGATACGTGAGAAGAATGAGAGGGTGAAGAGGTTTTTCAGAGAAAGGGGAAAGGAATAAATGAAGTGAATGTTTGTGATGTTGTTGGAGTTCGATTTAATAGAATAGAAAGAGGTGGTGTATTTTGTTGGTTGTTTTTTAGTAATGGCAGATGTTGTATAATGTATGAAGTTAGTTGTATTGTTAACGTAACTATAGCTGTGGGTTTTATTGGTAAGGATTTTTTTTTTGACGTATTAGTTTATTTTGTAGAATTGTTATAGTATTCGGAAAAGTTTCTTAGAATGTGTTTTACCGTTCGTTTTTTTTTTTTTTTTAGGTTTTTTTTTTTTTTTTTCGTGCCAAGGGTGTTCGTGATGTTTAAGAAAGAAGTTTTGCTTTATAATGTTATGGTTGAGGGTTGTGAAATTTTTGTTTAAGAGTTCACCAGGAAGTTGGGGCCCTCTGGCTTTATAAGTTTTCTTGAACGAAAATATAATTTTGCTGCCTTTTTTTTGGTGGTATTGTTCAAAATGAATGTACGTTTTTTTCTGTGTAAGTAGTTTAAATGTAGTTTTTTTTTTGTTATCTTTTACTCTCTGTGTGTATGAGGCAGTGTTATATATATATATGTTTTGATATTTGTCTTTTAAATTATCTTTTGTATATCATTGGGTATCTGAGAGAAAAAGGAAAAGATAATTTTGGGCGAAGCAAGGCAAAGGATTAATAGAAATATTTCGTGGCGGTAAACACTTCTGTTTCCCGTAAATCTTTTACCTCTTTTTTTGGGGTTTTATTAATTGAGTTTTTTATAAAATTAAAGAAAAATGCTTTATTCTTTTTTTCTTTTTTTTTTTCTGTTTTCCTTTTTGATTTATTTCGTTGATGTTTTAATATTATTTTGTTTTATTTTTTCTTCTATAATCTATTTTGAAAGATCATACGTTGCTATTCTTAGTTGATTTCAAGCATATATATATATTTTTATATACGTAGGTATTTTTCTGGGATTAAAAATCCTTTTCAAATAGGAGAAGAAATAAAAATAAATAGAGAAGAATGTTGTCACGTTCTCTATTTCGTCTTGATCTTGCAACACGTCGGGCTCGTGGTGTGGATTTTCTCCGTAACCGCTTTACTAATAAGGCTACTGCATTTACACGAGAAGAACGTGAGCACCTTGGCGTTGTAGGTCTTCTCCCACCTGCAGTTGAGACGATTGATGATCAAGTGGAACGTTGTTGGGAGCAATTTAAGCGTCTTAGCTTTCCCATTAATAGATATCAACTTTTACACGGTCTGCTGGACTCAAATGTTGTTCTTTATTACAAAGTTATTGAATCCCATCTAAAGGAAACTCTTCCTATTATTTACACTCCAACTGTTGGTGAAGCTTGCGAACGCTATGGTGCAATTTATCATAAGGATCACGGACTCTATGTGAGCAGTGAAGATGCTGGAAAGGTGCACCAGAATATAAAAAATCTTCGAAAACCTTATATTGATATTATTGTTGTTACAGACGGTTCTCGTATTTTGGGTTTGGGCGATTTGGGAGCTAATGGTATTGGAATTAGTATTGGTAAGTCTTCTTTGTATGTTGCTGCTGGTGGTATTAAGCCAAGTCGTGTTTTACCTGTAATGTTGGATGTTGGTACAAATAATGAACGTCTTCGTAATGATCCATTGTATCTCGGTTTGCGTTCTGAACGTGTTCCAGATGATAAATTCTATGCCCTTCTTGACGAGTTTATGGAAGCTGCACAGAAGCAATGGCCCAACGCCGTCATCCAGTTTGAAGATTTCAGCAACAATCACTGCTTTGATATGTTGGAGCGCTATCAAAAGAAATACCGCTGCTTCAATGATGATATTCAGGGCACGGGTGCTGTTATTGCCGCTGGCTTCCTTAACGCTGTACGTGTAAGCGATGTTCCTATGAAGGATCACCGTGTATTATTTTTGGGAGCTGGTTCAGCCGCAACTGGTGTGGCCCAATGTATTGCAGAACTTGCTTGTACTAAGTTTAACATCTCTATGGAGACATTTAAAGAGAGTATGTATCTTGTGGATTCCAAAGGTCTCGTCACGACATCACGTGGTGATAAGTTGGCCCCACATAAAGTGCCTTGGGCCCGCAAAGATATTGCACCGGAGCAAAATGAGAACCTTAAGACATTAACAGATGTGGTGCGTTTTGTAAAGCCAACGGCATTAATTGGACTTAGTGCCATGGGTGGTGCCTTCACAGAGGAGATTGTACGATATATGTCTTCTTACTGTGAACGTCCGGTGTTGTTTCCACTTTCTAATCCCTCCAGTAAATCAGAAATTGTTCCAGACAATGCGTATCGCTGGAGTAATGGTAAAGCCATTGTTGCCTCTGGCAGTCCTTTTCCCCCAAGCGTTGTAAATGATAAAGTTCTGCATCCAGCACAGGGGAATAATCTCTACATCTTCCCTGGTGTTGGTCTCGGCTGTGTGATTGCCCAACCTCCATTTATCCCACAAGAGGCCCTCAACGCCGCCGCCGCCGCTCTCAGTCAAATGGTGGACAATGAAGTTCTCATGGCTGAGGGACAACTTTATCCTCCCATTGAGAATGTACGGGAGGTGGCCAGGCATGTCGCCGTAGCGGTGATTGAAGAACTGCAGCGAATGGGTATGGCAAAGAGTGATTTGCCAAATGATAAACAGGAGCTGGTGAAGTTGGTGGAGAGTCTTATGTGGGAACCAAAGTATTTGGACTCAGATTATTATCTCTCAAAAAATTTCTCTTAGAATTCACAAAAACAAAGAAGATCTAAAAGTATTTTTGTTTTTATTGGTGTGTGTGTGTGTCTGTGTGTCTCTCTGTCTCTCTCTTTCACAGGGTGTGTTTCTGTGTAAGGCTGTATTCCTCCTTCTTTTTGGTTTATTCTTACTTTATTTGAGAAATTTTACTATTATTATTATTGTTATTATTATTATTATTATTATTATTATTGATTCCTTCTAGATTTGGCTACAATTTTTTATATCTATCTTCGTTTTTCCGGTTGTGCGTTCGCATGTCACACCAGTGATTTCTAATTGCAGTTTTTTTTTGTTTTTTTGGTTCATGCATGGCATCATCTCAGAGCAATAAGTGCGGACGTATTATTGTTTAAAAAAAAAATGGAAAAAGAGAATATTAAGAAAGAAATGGGTGTGACTGTAAGCGGATACTTGCATGCATACTTTTTTTTAACATGAATAAAATAGTAGGTATATATATTTCTTGACGGGTGTCAAGATGTTTAAATAGTTTATATATATATATATATATATATATATATATATATATATATATGCACATCTCTCTCTCTCTGTGTTTGTGCGTGCCCTTATGCTGTTAGTTTTACATTATCTGTGTTCATCGAGACATTAATCTCGTGGTGGGTAACCAGAAATAGGAACAGTGATAATGAAATGAGTGAAAAATGAAATAAACAAATAAAACATTAAATGATCAAAGATAAAAGGAAGAAGATTGTGTTGGTCATAATGAATAAGCGGAGAAAGAAAAAATGGCGTACAAAGATTACGGAGACTTGGGTCTGTGTGATGATAATAAATAGAAGTATAAATGGGGAGACATGAAAATCTGCAGAAAAGAACGAAAGGAGCGAACAATAGAAGAGTGTTTTTTTTTTTTTTTTAATGGGACAAGTACTATCATGCAATATCATTGGTTTCCCTATTACCATTTCGTAATACCTTTCCTATTTATATATTATTTACAAAAATACTAAAAGAAAGAAAGCAATGGTTTCTTTTTCTTTATTTTTGTTTTTCTTCAAAGATTACTGATTTGTGGTCTCTGATCATTTTTTTTTCTTTTCCTTCTTGCTTTTTTTGTGTGGGTGGTGTATGTTTTTCATGTTTTCCTATTTTCACTGCCTCTTTGATTTTTCTTCCGTATTTCTAGTAAGCCATACTCCCACTGATGGAAGGGTTTTATCTGTTATATATATAAGTTTACTTTTCAACTCTGTTTTTTTTTTGTTTTTCTATCCTTGTGTTCATATATATTTCTCTTTTTCTTTTTTTTCTGTTCTCTCTATATATAATTAATTTATTTATTTACTATTTATTTATTCTTAACGACAAGATAGTAATGGCCTCCGATAGTGACGATGATGAGTTCGCATACGTAGCCCCTTCCAAGGCCCAGACGAATAGAGTCGCGGGAACACAGAAACCCACCAAGACCGTGTACGAAGAGGAAAGAGATGCCCGAATACGTGCTATTGTGCAGGAACACAATCTCACTACATTAACAACCTCACACCAGCAACAACAAGAGGAGGAACAACAACCGCATCAACATCAACAGAGATGTGATGTAGTGGTAGGAGAACCCACAAACGATACAAGAATAGGTAATTACGATATGAGGGATAAAAATCACAGAAGGACTTCTACATCATATCATATGGAAAATAACTCCGTGTGTGTTACCTCTGCCACCTCCACCAACAACAATAACAGTAATAGTAATAGCAATAGTAATAACAACTCTGCACGGAGTTTGGCAGAAGAGGCACAACGACTGAAAGATCAGCGATATGCTATTTACCGTCGTAACCGAGCATTAAATCAGAATGCCCTCAAAGAGGTGGATCCAGGCACAAAACGATATATGCAAGTTATGTACACTCCTGCCAATAATGGAGTACGACAGCACCAACCGGGACGACGTCCTCCTAATTCTTCTTCTTCTAGTTATTCGGGTAATAATACACAAGGAGGTGGTGGAAGACGACAGTTTACACCGCATGGTAGTCGTCCGCCTAAACGTCCACGTGAGTAACGTTTCTCTATTTGTGTTTCTATCAATCTCCCTGTATTTCTCTATATCTCTCTTTATGTGTACATTGTATGTAACTTTCTTTTTCAGTTAGAATGATTTTTTTTTTTCACGGATAGCAACGATTCCGTTGATCTAAATGCGAAAGGAAAGGGCGGTGAGGGAGGGGTGAAGGAAAAGAATGGAGAAAAAAGAAGAAAAAGGGAAGGAAATACAGAATAAATTGAATGATTATTCGTTTAATCACTTTTTTTTTACTATTATTAATGATTTATCTTTTTGTATTATTGCTCTTTCTTCGAAATATCTTTTGCATACAACAAAAAAAGAAATATTTTTTCTTTTTCTTCAAATTAATCTTATTCTTTCATGGTTTGAAATGTACACTATGGTTAATAACATAGGGAGGAAACAACGTAGAAGAAGGGGGTCTGGTGTCCAACGGAGTTCGCCAGAAACAGATAACAAAATTAAACAATAACACGACAAAAAAAAAAAGAGTTAGAGTTATCATTAAGTACAGAACGGTTAAAACAAGGAGTGAAATGTCCTTCTTCTTTAATGAGGACGTAGATGATGAGCCTATGAAGAAGAGACGCCACATGGAACAAGAACAAGAACAACAACGACAAAAACAACAAAATCAAGGCTTTCTTTATAATAGAAAGGAAGGAAAAGAAGATGAGGATGATGAAGAGGATGATAGACCTGTGTTAACTAATCCCGCTGCCTCTGGTGGTGGTCGTGTGGGTCTGAAGTTATTGCAAGATATGCATAACGCCCCGTCTTGTTCTTCTTCTTCTATTCCAATATCTACTGTTGTGGAGCCACAGAAGTTGCGTGTAGTGGAGGATTACACTCCTCTCTCTGTTGGTGGTTTCATGGGAACTTCTGCAGAGACCATCTTGAACAGTGCCCATAATGTGCGGCCAGGTGATATTATGTGTCTTCGATGTCCTCCACCAACAATGACTCGTCATTTGGCTGTTAATTCTGTTTCTCCTGTTGATATTGTTGCCGCTGCTCCTTCTGCTTCTTCTTCTTCCGGTTCTTCTAGTACTGCTGGCATGCAGTTTGTGAAGGAGACGGATCTCACTGAGGAGGAGAAGCTGTACGGTAAGCGTCTCTCTTGTGATATGCTGCGGGAGTTGTTTGAAGTGGGCCGTGTGGATAGTGCCACAAACT